ACTTGGTTCTATGCAAGAAAACGTGTTTCATACTTGTCGAAAAAATAAACGTTTATAAACCAGGAGGAACAGTTATTATTTTTTGTATATATTCAACTCAAATAAACTCACTGAATTACTGAACAAAAGTTCAACAACAAATATTTATGTTTAGCTGCCATTCGCAAAAGCAAATATCTTTTATCAATAAGTAACTGCATGATTTTAAAAGTCAAGAAATTGTTTTAAAAGCATTGTATGGTATAATTCGTTCAAATGTGACTAGTACAAAATACTTGCTGAAAAAACTAAATATATTTGAAATTTTAATTGAAAGCTCGTTTTCAAAACTCGTCTTGTTAAAATCTTGTGAAATCTTCAATTGTTAAAAGTGAAAAATGTGAAATTTTCGAGATTAAAATTTAGAAAAATACAGTGAAAATGAATCTGGTCTGGGGTAGTTCGTTGTTGTTTTTTTTTTCTATCTACGTGTCCCGCATACCGAGAACGCACACAACCGAATCAAGAAAAAAAGAATCATCAAAAGAAAACAAATAAATAACTGAATTGTAGAAAATGTTTTTTTTCCTTCTCTCTCACCCTTTTTTTTCCTAATACGAAACAACCCTTCAGAAGAGAACAAACACCGTCATTTCTTCAATCCCTTTTCTAGATTTTTACTATTTGTTAATCAATTTAATTCCATTAGTATTAGGAGAATGTTTATTAAAAAAAAAGTTACTTTTGCTATTTGTTAACCAGTAGATTTTCCTCTTAACTTGTCTTAATTTATTATACTTAAAAAATGGTGTGTTTACTACAAAAAAATGCATTAGACTTGATTCAACGATCAAATTTTGTATGCAAGAAAACGTGTTTAATGCTTGTCGAAAAAATAAACGTTTATAAACCAGGAGGAACAGTTATTATTTTTTGTATATATTCAAGTCAAATAAACTCACTGAATTACTGAACAAAAGTTCAACCAGAAATGTTTATGTTTTGTTGTGATTCGCAAAAGCAAATATTTCTTTCAATAAGTAAAACTGCATGATTTTAAAAGTCAAGAAATTGTTTTAAAAGCATTGTATGGTATAATTGTTCAAATGTGACAAGTACAAAA